GCACGCGCGCGCGCACACACACACACACACACACACACATACACACAAATGCTCACACCTCTGAACCAGAACCCCACCCCCCCACCGGAAATAAAGCAGGACTTGGCAGAGAAGGGCAGGGCCCTGGATGCCACAGGTCAGGGCTGAGGACCAGGCCTCGGGTCAAATGGTGGGTGACCCCCCAGAGGGTCTGGGATGGTGGAGGGGGGCAGATCCCTGGGGCTCCTCAGAGGGTAGGACTGGGTATGCAGAAGACTGGGTCGCTGGGAGTCAGGCAAGGAGGGCAGATATCCTATGTCCCCAAGCACCAGGACCAGGTCCTGGAAGTCTGAGTCCCTCAAGTGGATGAGCTCAGGGTCCGAGGGTGGGGCCCAAGTCCCTGAGTCCCCAAGGAGAACGGGTCACTCACCTAGGAGGCAGGCCAAGACCCTCATGTTTGCAGAGTCTGGAGCAGGGATGGAGCAAGAGGGGACCAGAACAGGAGAATGGAGGAGACCACAGCCACCGGAGGGAGGGAGGGAAGGAGGGGATGGAAGCGCCTACAGAGGCGCTCTGGACCTGGGAGGAGCAGGCAGGAGCTGGACTCTTTGCCAGGAGCAAGAGAGGCTGCTGAGGAGGCAGCAGGGGAGGGGGGGCGGGGAGGGGGCTGGCCAGAGGCTGAGGCCTAGGGAGGAGGGGGGTAGCAGGAGGGAAGGAGGGTGTCCAACTGCAAACACCCACACAGAGCCGGGCGTGTAGAGATGCTTAGGCTGCGGAGAAGGGACAGACAGGGGCAAGGCGCCCACGCATCTGCGTCCTCTCTGTCTAGCCAGGGAAGTGTGGTGGGATCAGGGTGGACAGATTGGAGGGTAGATAGGCGTTGCCGGGCATGGGAACCTGGCACGGCTAGGGATCGCCATTCAGCAGCAAGAGGGCCTCCAGCCAGACACCAGGAAGGACTCCCTGAACTGCAAAAGCAGACTGAGAAACCCCTCTCTCATCCCCCAGTGGAGTTGGATGTAAAGCCACCCATCTGAGGGAGAAGTAGCTGAGCTTCTATGCACCCCCGACTCCCCGGAGGGAACCAGGGTAGGGAGATGAGCAGACCAAGGGTCAAGGCCTGGATGGGGAGATGACTGCACACACACACTCTCACACTCTGCACCAGGCAGCTGGGAGGCGGAAAACTTGGGTAATGGGGAGCGTGAGTCAGAGGGCTGGCAAGGAGCAGGGCTGCTGTGAGCTCACCGCCTCCCCTCCTCGTCTCCCAGGCCAACACCCCCACCAACAATTAATGTCAACTCCCGGAAGGAGGAGCCAGACAGAAGGGGGGGTTCAGAGACGACTGGGAAAGGCATCAGACAGAGAGCTGGACCCAGAGCAGTTCCAGGATTTATTAACAAACGGGTGTAAAAACCAGACGGGACTGGCTGCCCTTCCCGTCTCTCACCTTCTCCCAGGGAAGAGCCACCACTCTGTCTCAACCCCTCCTCGCAGAGCTCTCTCTGAGACCACCCTCCCCTACAGAGGTTCTGCTCATCCCCTCTGGCTCCAAACCCATCCCCTCCAAGCATAGACATCAAACCCCACTCCCTTCATGGGAGGCCTCATCCTAGTTTGGGGTGCCCCTGCCAAGTCCTAACTCTTGGAGGGAACACTTGCTCAGCCTCCTCTCCTCCTCTCTGCATCTTTCCCAGGCCGATAGCACAAACAGTGTAGGCTTTGCAGACACACTGGAGATCTCAGTGCAGACAGAATCTGAGGCAGGGGGCTGGATGGGTTGACCACTGAGAAGCTCAGACACTGAAGACAGCCTCAGGCCTCAGTCTGGACCCTGGGCAGGTTGGGGTGCACACAGGGGGCTGTGGAAGTGCCCACACCGGGTAGGTGCTCACACATGAGTCACAGGTTCTTGCTGAACTCCCTTACCAACGTGTAGCCCATGCAACCCCAGCTCCCCTCAGCCTGGTAGCCGCAGCCCTCCAGGATCCCTGCCACGCCCCAAGCCGCCACGGCCACTGGGACCACAAGGCGGGCCCGGGGCTCCCCCATGCTCCCTGCCCAGGTGCGTGCCCGGGACTCTGCAAAGGCCAGTAACCGCCTGCCCACGCCTCTGCGGCGGTGCCAACGGGCGACAGAGAGGCGAGTGACCCGGGCCCCAGAGTTAGAGCCAGGGGCTAGGGCCAGGACCCCGCACACATCACCAGAGCCACGCACTGCTACCCAGGGCCCCCCCAGGCCACCCGGCGGAGGCAAGGAACCCCACCGGGCCCGTAGGCCCAGCTTCATGGCCACCACAGCCAGGAACACAGGCAGGAAGAGGGCCAGGGCAAAGGAGGCCAGCACAAAGCGCAGGCCACTGCTGGCGGCCGCCAGAAGAAGCAGGGCAGGTGGCCGTGTCAAGGCGTGGAGGGCCACTCGGTTCTCCGTGTCCTTCACAGCAGCCTGTGGGTGTGAGGGGCATTTAGAGTGGGGGACTCAGCTGTCCATTATACCAGGGACTAGGAGTGAGTGGACCCTGCCTGAGAGGGATCTGGGGTGTGGGCTCCCAAAGGAGAAGGGAAGCAGTGTGACAGGACTTGTGGCTGACAGACACAGGCAGGGCCTGGCCACATCTGCCCTGGGCACCATCAAACGCCATACCTGGTAAACAGGGCTTTGAATGAGTGAGCGAATTAAAATTAGGAGGTTGGGGACACCCAGTTCAGAGGAGGGACAGGCAAGAGGCACCAGGGAAGGCTGAACCAGAACAGAATGGGAGACAGGCCCCATTCAGAAAATGGGCAAGCTCTGGGTAGTGAGCAAGGAGGCTAGAGTGGGGACAGCACAGGGCTCAGGGCCCTGGCTCTGCTCTGAAGAATATGGGATAGGAGGCAGAGTCCCCACAGCCCTCCAGTGATAAAACCTTCCTTATTCCCAAGGGTAGGAAGAGGGCTAGAAGGAGACCAGGCCAAGCCAGAGAGACCAGGCCAAGCCAGAAGCGGCTTAGGAGGAAAGCAGGCTCTCCAGGGCTCCGGGCTGGCTCACCTTGCCGCCCCGCCCCCAGGCTCACTGGTGCCCCGCAGCCCTCACCTTCAGCATCTCCAGCACCAGGGGTTTCTCATCCTCCCTCATCTCCCGCACCGACAGGTGGCTGGGAGCCATGGCAGCCCCCGTTCCCCAAGGGAGCAGGCGTGCACCTGGTGAAAATAAGCAGGTGAGCGTCAGGACAGCACTTCTAGTCCCCAAGCGCCCCAGGGGTGGGAACCTGCAGTAGCATGTCCCAGATGAGAATAGTTAGGTCGCTTGCCCCCGTCCCACCTAAGCGAAGTGACGGCCGAGGCAGGCCAGGCTGCCCCCTCCACCCAGCCACCTCCCTAACGTCTCCCGGGATCTCGCCCCCCAACTCCGTGTTAAGCGATCTACCCCTAAATGACCTGTGGTTGCCAACACCTGGCAACACGGGGGTCCCTCCCAAGCTCTGGAGCTTCCCTGGGGGCGTAGGCGAACTCCCCCTCCACGACCAGAGGATGGACCGCGCTCCCCAAGACCCAGCGTCCCTCTCCCAGAGTGGCCGCAGGAGCAAGGACCTGCAAGGACCTCTGCGGGTCGCTCTAATCCTCTGACAAGGTGGGGTACAGGGTTGGGGGAGGGGAAGAGTCGCCGGTGGCGGAAGTGACGTAAGACTCGCGCACGTTAGAGGTAGGACGGCGCCTTTACTCGGCCTTAGCAACTGTTGCCAAGTTGGTGGTCGCTGAGGAGGAACGAGGGCAGGACGCGGGGCCCCTGGCAGGGACGGGGTTAGAAGGACCGATGGAGAGAGGACCCGTAAGACGACGACGGGTCCTGGAGGGGTGAGGGCTGGGAGCTGTACTTAGCAGCCCGCGGGGGCGCGCACGCTAGCTTCACGACGTTCCCTGGTTGCTAAGCAACTAGCGAGTAAGTAGGGGCGGTGATGGGAGCGGATCAATACTCATTGGCGCCCGGGTCTTCGTGGGAAGAGCCAATTCCGTATCCTGAGACCACCAGCTCCCAAACTGTCCACCTCAGGGACCTCCGCTCCAATCCCAACCCGGGCTCAGTGACCTTCAGGACAAGCATTCCCCACAACCGACTTTTCAGATGAGAGGAGGGGTGGGGTGACTTATAGGGAACAAGTGGCAGACCAAGATTCTAGATTCCTGCGCCTTCCCACTCGCGACCACTGCACCCATTTTTTTAGGGTAAACAGAGCCCCACGCAGAAATGGCTGCCTCCCCCCGCCCCCGCCCCCACGCAAAGCAAGTCACCTGCGAGCCGGGATGCAAGAGATAAGATTCCAAGTTCCCAAATGGTGGCCATGGCCATGGCATTTGCCCCCTCCCCCCAACCTAGCCTCCCCTACCAGGAAAACAAAACACAGGAGAGATTCTGGTCTTTATTAGCAAGCCCAGCCTGCAGCTCGCCTGCTCCCAGCCCAGCCCAGCCCAGCCCAGCGAGAAAGTGAGTCCGGCTGTGTGTGGGGGGCAGGAAGAGGTACCAGTGTTCCTACTCAAAATGTATGTACCAGCTGGACTGCAGGCAGAGTCTGGACAATCTGGATGGAGGGCAGGCCCTGAGGGGCCATGCCCCCTGGCGCGGCTCCTGCAGGGACTACTTGTACCATCTGGGGGGCAGGAGCTGTGGGGAGGCTTGCAGGGGCAGAGGCTGAGGCAGGTGGTGGTGGGGCCAGCAGCTGCAACGTGGCTGCGCCACCCCCAACACTGTTCTCCAGCAACTCAGTGGCTGGGGTACTGCGGATGATAAGCAGTTTCTGTCCGGGTGGCCCGGGGGCAGGTGGCTCTGCTATCCCGGAGGGAAGGGTCTCTACTTCCTGCACACACAGCTGGGTCTGCTCTCCATCAGCCCCACTCAGCACCAGGACACTCTGCAACCCCTCATCTGTCTGCAGCGTCTCAAAGAGCACATCCTGGACCACACCGGTGCTAGCCTCACTGTCACCTGGCTCCCCAGGGCTGGCACCTGCCAGCAATTCTTCAGCTGCACCACTCTGAACCACTAGCAGGTTGGGGGCCTCAGTGGTAACGGCTCCCCCACTGGGATTGGATAACTCGCCTGCCACAGGCTGGAGCTGGACTGCAGTCACCTCCTGTGTGGGCTGGAGCTGGACTGTGGTCACTTCCGGTGCTGGTTGGAGCTGGACTGCAGTCATTTCCGGGCCTGGCCGAAGGGGCTGGAGTTGGACCCCACTCACTTCCTGTGGCCCAGCCTCCCCACCCCCTACATTCTGCAAAAGGATGAGGCTCTGCCCACCCCCACTGGCCCCGGCGTTGCCCCCTCCCTGTACCCCAAGTCCTGCAGGGCCTGGCAGCCAGACTACTCCAGCCCCCTGCCCAGCCTTCCCCACTGCCCTTGGGCCCTGCCTTGCCCGGCCGCCCCCACCACTGGTACTGGAGGGCAGCAGAATGAGCTTGGGAGGGGCAGGGGGCGGTGAGGGTGTAGCAGGCTGCACACTGCTGGGAATGAGCTGGAGGCCCTGGGCCGTCTGCACTAGGAGGAATGTCTGGGAGTTGGGGGCTGCCGGACCCAGGGGTGGGGCCTGGGCTGGGCTGCCTGCCACCTCAAGGGAAAGTGTGGCCTGGAGGTGGGGGAGCACATGGACATCTTGGGTAGCTGGTGGCATTGGGGCTGCAGCCAGAGGGGTGGGGGGTGCAGGGCCAGCGGCAGGGGTGGCCTGGGCATGCGTCCTCAGGTGCCGCTGTAGGTAGGCAGCCATGACGAAGCTACGGCCACAGACAGGGCAGGCAAAGGGGCGCTCTGCCGAGTGGGTGCGCTGGTGCAGCAGCAGGTTGGAGGAGTGCGTGAAGGTCTTGGGGCAGAGCGGGCAGCGGAAAGGCCGCTCACCCGTGTGCACGCGCTGATGCTGCCGCAGGTTGGAGGTCTGCGCAAAGCTCTTGCCGCAGACGCCACAGGCATGCGGCCGCTCGCCTGTGTGCACATGGCGGTGGCGCCGCAGGCACGACGTGTTGCGGAAGGCCTTGCCACACTCGCCGCAGGCGTAGGGCCGCTCGCCAGTGTGCAGCCGCAGGTGGTACTGATAATGGGATGACCACTTGAAGGTCAGGCCACACTGGCCGCAGGTGAAGGCCCGCAGGCCCGTGTGCACACGCTGGTGGATGGCCAGCAGCGATGAGCGCTTGAAGGCCTTGCCACATTCGCCACACTGGTAGGGCCGCTCACCCGTGTGGTCTCGCAAATGGTAGCGCAAGCCCGATGAGCCCTTGAAGGCCTTGCCACATTCGGCACACTTGTAGGGCCGCTCAGTAGAGGTGGACATGGGGGCAGGCGGCTGCAGGGCAGGAGTGGTGGGGACCAACGGCTCCTGTGGGCAGGTGACCTCAGCAGCCTCAGCCTGCGGGGGTGGGCGCCCAGCCGCCGCCTCCTCCACGTGGCACTGCTGGTGTGCCAGGAGGCTGGCGAGCTGTGGGAAGGCGCCGTCACAGCTGCCACAGCGAAATGCCTGTCCACTGGCTGCCCCGTGGCTGTGCTGGTGGCGGGAAAGGCCAGCCACTGTCCGGAAGGATTTCCCACATGGGACGCAGGCGAAGCCAGGAGCAGCAGTGGCAGGAGGGGGCTGGGGCTGCTGGGCTGGGACAATCGGTGCAGCCTTCTCTGTCTCCGGGGCCATGTCCTGGGTTGTGGGCGCCGCCTCTGGCCCTGGGCAGGGCTGGTGCTCTAGCAGCAGCTCCTCGCTGCCAAAGCCCAGCTCGCAACCGTCACAGCGATACACCAGCTCCACTGTGGTCTCAGCTGCCGCCAGGAAGAGCTCAGGCACCACGGGGGGAGGCGCTGGCGCTGGGGGCACTGGAGGGCTGGGGGAGCGCAGGTGCGGCTGCAAGTAGGCATCAGTGACCAAGACCTTGGAGGGCTCCCGCGGCGGTGGTGTGGCAGCAGGGGCGACATCATGGGTGCGCTGGTGCAGCAGCAGGTTGGAGGAGTGTGTGAAGGTCTTGGGGCAGAGCGGGCAGCGGAAGGGCCGCTCGCCCGTGTGCACGCGCTGGTGCTGCCGCAGGTTGGTGCTCTGGGTGAAGCTCTTGCCACATACGCTGCAGGTATAGGGCCGCTCACCCGTGTGCACATGGCGGTGGCGCCGCAGGCTAGACGAGTTCTTGAAAGCTTTAGGGCAGTCAGGGCAGGGGTAGGGCCGCTCGCCTGTGTGCTGGCGTAAGTGGTACTGGTAGTGGGATGACCACTTGAAGGCTAGGCCGCATTGGCCACAGGTGAAGGCGCGCAGGCCCGTGTGCACGCTGCGGTGGATCTGCAGCAGCGACGAGCGCTTGAAGGCTTTGGGGCAGTCGGGACACTGGTAGGGCCGCTCACCGGTATGGCCCCGCTGGTGGTAGAGCAGGGCCGAGGAGCCCTTGAAGGCCTTGGGGCAGTCAGGACACTTGTAGGGCCGCTCGCCCGTGTGCGTGCGCTGGTGGTGCAGGAGCCGCGACGACCAGCGGAAGGACTTGCCGCACTCCCCACACTCGTACTGGGCCGCCGGGGCGGGGGCTGCGGGGCCAGGCTTCTCCCCGGAGCCCTCCGCGGTGGAGGCCGGCGCCATGTCCGCGTGGGAGCCAACCATCACACCTGGGGGGGATTCCAGGTCAGGGGAGGGCGGCCCCCTCCCCCCACACATACCGAGTCATCTCAACCCCAAACCCGCACTGCAGACTACGCTGCCCCTTTAAAGGCGGGGGTGCCTCCCCTGCCCGCTTCGCTGTAGGAGCCTCTGTCAGGATTAGCACCTACCAAGGGTCCAGCTTTGCCCCAAGATGAAAGAGTTCAGGTGCTGAACTCCCAGCAAATTGGGATGGGTGGGTGACCAGCCTTAGGAAGTAGGTCAGCCATCTCCTCCAGGAGGCCAGAAAGGCCTGAAAAGGCTGAGCAGGACTGTAGAGCTCTAATCTAAAAATAGGCCCTACAAGAAGGGGGGGGCACCTCTCCAGCACCCTGGCTTCCAACCCTTGACTCCTCTCCCTGTAAAGACCCACCCATCCCCAGCCTCAACATCCACACCCATTGCAGGAGCTTTAACCCTTCCCTGTAACTGAAATCCTGTGATCATCCTCCTCTCCACCCACCCTATCCCCCAATTCTGCTTGCCTGGTTCCCCTTGGTCCCTTGACCAAGACTCCTTCACTGCATCAGATCTCCACTCCACTGTGCCCTCCGCTAGCATTGCATCTTCACTTCTCCTTGCCCAGCACAAGGGCTGTGGGCACCCCAAAACTGCTAGCCCGGTCCCCTTTGCATTTGTGCCCCACAATAGCAAACTCCTCCCTACTGGCCACACTGCTCATTTGCATTTCTCTGGTCCCTTCACCACCCCCAGGTGATACTTGCATGTTTTTTTCCCCTCAAACCTCTTTTCCCCTTCTGCTCTTGGCAGGTGACCCTGCCATTGATCTTGTCACTGGGAAAATAGAAGCAATCAGAAGAGAAAGTTCCCACGTCCCAACCATACTCCAGTTATTCTCAACAGGACAATTGGGACCCCCCCCCATGGCACCCCACTCCAAGGGGCACTGGCAATGCCTGGAGACTGTTCTGGCTATCAGGCTGTAATCTGGAGGGGCAGATGCTCCTGGCATCTAGTAGGGGGAGGGCAGGATGCTGCTCAACATCCCACAGTGCATGGGGCAGGCCTCACAGCAGAGTGATCCAGCCCCAATCAATGCCAGTGGTGCTGGGGCTGCGAAACCCGCACTGCCCCTCCTTCTGGCCTGCCTCTAGGCCCAGGGGCCCTGAGGACCCACCCTGAGCAATGCTCCTCACCCAGACCACACTCATCAACGTGCCCACAAGCTCTGTCTCCCATCTTGACAAAAACACTTTCACCCTACCAAGCACCTACCAAGGGTCCAGCTTTGCCCCTCCAGCTAAGCTCTAGTTTCTCTCCACCTTTTCGCAGCAAAACAACTCAAAACTGCTCCTTCCCATTTCAAACATCGTGGCCTCCATGGTACTAAACCCATGGCCTCTGCCTAGTCCACAATGGACCCTCCCTCCTCCAACCAGTCCCTTTGGTTCCCGAGATACCATGCTCCTCACTTGCCCCCGGTCTTAGTTTCAGGTGCTAGTCCTTTCCATCGCCCTGACTCGTGCCTATAGGGGCATCCAAGTCCTATCCGCCCAGGGAGCCCTGGCCTCCCTCAGGCCTCCCCATCTATACATAGGAGAACTCTACAGTCCACTATGACACCTTTTTTTTGAACTCCAAACCCCTGCTCACGATGCCATGTGGACAGCTAGACACCTCAAATTTAACATGCCCCAAAGCTAACTCCAGGCTTTGGCTCCTGCTTGCCCCCACCTCACCCCCAACCCTCCTTCATCCATAATTTTCTCCATCCCCGAAAATAGCTCTATTCTTCCTCAGGCCAAAAGCCTTGGGGCCCCCTCGCCTCTCACTCTGTGACAGAGCAAATCCATCAGTGCTTCCCCTGGCCCAGCAGGAACATACTTGCAATCTGGCCACTTCTCACCAAGTCCCCTGTCGCCACCTGTGTCCAGGGTATCTACACCCCACTCCTGGCAGCTGCCATAGCCTCCTAACAGGCCTCGTGTTTCCAACCTCACCCTCCCTGGCCCAGTATACTCCCAGCACAGAGGCTGAAGCAAAAATCCTGCCAAAGCCTCACAGCTCCCATTTCCAAGCAGAAGACAACCCCTTAAGAGAGCTACACCGCTTGGCCTCCCCCCTCACTGTCCTGCTCCTGGCTGCTCCAATCCTCACAGCGCTCTCAGCACCCAGCCTGGCTGGGCATGCCTGCTCCACCTGGGGCACTTACAGAGGCCCAGCCTAGTAGTCTGCTCCCTCACATCCAATGTCACCAGCAGGAGGCATTCCCTGACCAGCCTGCTTAAACCTGCAACCCCTTCCAACACTCCCCATTCTCTTTCTCTAACTTACATTTTCTCCATAGCATTTATGACCTTCTAAACTACTTTGTAATCAGAGTTTCCCAACCTCAGCACTGTTCAGATTTGGGGCTGGACTAGTGTCCAGGGGGCTGTACCATGCACTATAGGATGTTTAGCACCATCCCTGGCCTCTACCCACTAGATGCTAGTGACAGCTTACTCACTGTTGCATCCCAGCGCCTAGAATAACGTCAGGCACAAAGAGAGTGCTCAGTAAAAACATCCGGAATAAACGAAGACTGGACATCTCCTTTGGACAGGTGATAAAGATTCCTTTTATAGACATGACCATCCCTTTGAAAGTGTTTTAGGAGACAATTATCCCAAGAAGCTACATGTGCCTTTCAGAAGGCTGGGCGTGCCTTAAACAAGAGATATTCTGCTCTGGAAGAGCCGAGGCCTATTCCACCCTTCCAAAACGCTGGACCACACCCTTCCACCAGATCCGACTTCCCCTTTAAGAGGATGCTCCTGCTGCAACCCCTGCTCCACCTTTGTTGAGCTAAATTAGAGACTATTTTGAAGCCACCAGGATTTATAAGCTTTTTCCTTCGATGTCTGGACAATGTCACCGGTCTTTTAAAGAGAAAACCTATTCATAGTGGGATGAAAAGAAGCTCCTGTATACAACGGAACCTGCCCCGCCTCTCTAAAAGCAGCCCCTTGCCCCTTAAGAGAGCGAAGCCGGCCAGGCCGATAAAAGTCGGAGGTGAAGTAGCGCCCTTTCCTTTAAGGCATCCCTTCCGGTTTCACGCTCGCGATTTCCCCCATGTCTCCGCCCTCCGGTCCCTCCCCCCACCCCTCCGGTCTCTCACCTGCAGCCCCGACCCGGGCAACGAGCGGAGGAGACCCAAGGCCTTCCCGCGGGGGTCGATGGGAAGGCGGGGCCCCGGCGCCGGCGGTGCAGGCTTAGGGGCCGGGGCGGGGGCGAGGGCGGGGGCGCGCTCCCTCCCAACGGCCCCCGGCGCGAGGCACCCAACCTTTACCCGCTGCCGCTCGCGCACACAAACCCCGACGTCGCCGTCGGAGCGTCACGACGCCACGTGCACCTAGGCCCCACCTCCCCGGCCTCTGGCCCTTGCGGCTCTTCCCGGGCGCCGGCAGCGCGAGGCATCTTAGGAGCTGTAGTTCTCCCCGGGCTCCGAAGGCCAAGTCCCGGAGGCGGGCACGGAGGGTCAACCCAAGCCTGGAAAAGCCAGACTGGGGTCCCGGGTTGCACGTTCTCCTTTATTAATATTGATTACCTCTCGTCTGTAATAAAGACCCTCCCAGTTGGCGCGGTTCTGAGCAGGCCTCGCCCACCAGGGGTGTTGGTCGGCCCGGGCCTGGTCCCCACTTCCAGGTCCTCCAGGGTCTCTTTCCCAGTCCATAGAAGTCCCACGTCCTCGCGGTTCCCTGGCGCCTGCCGGGTTCATGGGTGCAGCTGTGCATGAACCTGGGCCTTGCAGTGCAGGGGGCTGCCCAGGATGCTGGTGGAACACTCCTTCATTTCAATGCTCTGCCCGCATCGCCTCAGGCTTCTGGCCACACTGACTTTTCTCCGGGTCATTCGACACAGGGTTTCTCCACCATGGCACTAGTGACATGGGCCTGATCAGTCTTTGCTGTGGGGGCGTCCTGTACATAGTAGAGTGGTAAGCAGCATCTTTGGCCTCCACCCAGGGGAGGCTAATAGTACCCCCTCTCCGCCTGCTCACCTCCCCCACACTTTATGACAGCTGTCTCCAGACGTGGACCCACGTCCCTGGTTGAGAACCACTGCTCCAAGGCCATCCTCCCCTCACTCAGCCTGAGGGCCACTCTGTGTGCTGTTTCTCAGACCAGCTACCCCATTCCTTCTCAGCTGCTGCTGGAAAACCTGCTGCTGGAAAACCTGCAGTCTTCTCCCTGCCCCATCACGTGCTCAGCGACACTCATTTGTGTTCCATGACAGCATGGAAGGGTCTGTCTTTGTCACCCAGGTGTCCCCAACAAGGGGCCTGATCAGAAGTAGGCGGTACCCTCTCCCTGCAAGGTCTTTGTGAAGTCCCTATAAGTTTGTGCCAGTAAAATCTGCTGCTGCCAGCTCAGTCCAAACATTCCTTTTCCTTCAGCTTCTACCTCCCCGCTTAGAAAGGAGGCTGCTCAAGGCACTGGAAGGGAAACCAGAGCAGAGCCTTGAGATAATGAGGGGTGAAGAGAAGACAGGAGAAGAGTAGCAGGTACTGGAGGTAGAGCTGGAGGCTCTGCCCATTGGGGTCTGACCTCACCTGTGTCCAGGGCTGCCAAATATCAGGCACTACCCTCCTTGGCTCTGGGATGGAGGGAAGAGCCCATGCTGGAGGTGTAGATGTGGACATAGCCCACAGTCACTCCTCACCTCAGGCCACTAGTGGAGGTGTAGATGTGGAGTGTGCTTCCCAGCTGGCTATGGGCAGGGGTGGTGTGGAGGTACATAGCCCACAGTCACTCCTCACCTCAGGCCACTAAGGTACCAGCAGTAGTGAAAAGAATCCGGACCAGCCCCATTTACCTGCCTGTCCCAGGCGGTCCATGGCATCAGTGATTCTCTTGCTGGCCCTGAAGACACAGCCTCCATGGAGTTTACAGATGTGAGCACATGGATTCTGCCACATGACCTTGGAAGGGGTCCTTAACCTCAGATGAGATGGCAGCCCCAACCAACACCACATTGCAGCCTGTGAAGTCCTGAGTAGAGGATCCAGCTAAGCCACAGGTGCCTGGACTCGTGACCCAGAGGAACTATGAGAAAATTAGTGTCTGTTGTTTTAAGCCATTGTATTGGTAATTTGTTATGCAGCATAGTAACTAGTATATTTCTTGTGTTAGTTTGCTACAAGTGCAATAACAAAGTGTCACAGGCTGGCGGGCTTAAACAACAGAAATTTATTTTCTCTCATTTCTGGAGACTAGAAGTCTGAGATCGAGGTGTCGGCAGGGCAGTGTCCTTCTGAGGCCTCTCTCTTTGGCTTATAGATGGTTGTCTTCTCCCTGTGTCCTCTCATGGTCATCCCTATGTGTGTATCTGTGTCCTTATCTCTTCTTATAAGGACACCAGTCATACTGGCTTAGGGTCCACCCTAGTGACCTCATTTTACCTTAATCGCCTGTTTAAAGACCTTATATCTCTGAATACAGTCATATTCTGTCTCAGAAGAAAAGATGTGAAACAAATATGACAGGGTTGACCCCTTTGAGTTCTGAGTTGGAGACACCAGGAACTCGCCATCTGTAAATTCTTAGAATACATTTTAAGTGAAACAAAGTCCCTCTGGGACTGGGCGAGAGAAATAGCAAATAAGTGGAGTGGAAGCAGGGAGGGACAGCCTGGTCTGGGCTCCTTGCTGGTCCTGACACCTTGGTTTCTCCCTCTCCAGATTAGAGGAAAATTTAGGGGCAAGGTTTCCACATTCCAAGTGCAGTGAGGTCTGCAAAGGAGGCTGAGGGAAGAGTCCTGAAGTCTGGGTACCACCTTTGGCCCAAACCCTTCATGGCTCCCCTTCAATCCTGCCCTCATAACCCATCTCCTACCTTGCCTGTGGGCTTAGCCCCTGTCCACTTCTCTGACTTTGCTTCCCACCATCACTCCCTCTCTCACACCAGTCAAGCTTGCTCCTGCCTCAGGTCCTTTACACCTACTGCAGATCTCTGCCTGGTTGCAGGACAATTGTCACCTCCTCAAAGAGGGCTTCTCCATCTGAAGCAGCACCCTTCCCGAATCCAGCCACCAACTTATTGTGCAGCTTTAGAACCTTCACAGCACATCCCCAGCTGGGATTTTCTTGTCATAGATGTCCTTCCCAGACTCCTACAGGAGCAAACAGGGCATGTCTTGCTCATCACTGCACCCTTGGTCTCTGCACACAGTAGGTGCTCCATAAATGTCCATTGTGAGGGCTGAGACAGAGGAAAGGAACTTATGCATACCTTCCACTACCTGGCAGGGCAGGTCCTCAGCAAACACCAGATGAGGCGGCCCCAGCTGTGGGCGATTCTTAGCAATGACTAAGACAGGAGAAGGGCCCAAAGGGTGGGCCCCATGCCTGTGCAGGGCCTCCCAGTGCCAGCCCAGGAGTTGGCGCCCCCTAGTGGAGCACCCCAGCCCTGCAGCCCTGGGTGTGTCCCGGGCCCCTCCTGGCAGTGGCACAGAGCTGACCAGCAGATATTGCCCTTGGCTTCTGGTGACAGATGCAAGCTCGCCCTGGAGCCACAAGGTGGCAACTCCTTGCCTGTCTTGGGACCTGACCACCAATCCTCAGAGAACTGGGGTCCACTCCTCCAGCATGAGATGGTGACCCTGGTCACCTAGTGAACCTGCAGCTGCTGACCTCACTGTACTCGTCAGCCCATGCAGACTCACAGCACCTCTGGGACATGTCCTACTGCCTGCTGCTGGCTCTGGGCTGCCACCATTGTGCTGCCCCTGCCCAAGGTGCTGCTGGCAAGGCAGCAAGCCTGGCACCCAAGGGTGTGGTCTTGGGGCATCTACTGACAAGGTTTGAACCCCTGATTTGCCATTTACTTGCTGTGTGATCGTGGACAAGTTGTGGAGCCTTGATTTCCCCCCATGCTACCTTCTTATCCCAGCTTTAACACTGACGTCATTGAGGCTTAAATTAGAAAAGATATGGGGTCTCCAAATGGTGGCACTGGGATTTTTTTTTTTTTAATTTATTCTGTAACATTGTACATTTTCATGTGGTTACAGTGTATTCACATCTGGCAGTTCTCATTTCAAAAGGAACCCTTATTCTATTCCCTCCTTCCAGCCAGAAGTGGTTCCACCACAGTCTTTTATAATGTGCTACTGCTAATTTTATCAGGGCACCATTTGGGAAAAAAGAGAGCATTTATAGTGAGGCTACTAAGAAATATTACCCTTTAATAATTAATGACTAGGAGAGATTTTAGAAAGTTCTTGATGTCCCTCCTATTTTTCCCCTCAAGGATTACATCCCAGCTCTGCTGCTCTGACTTTGGGTGACTATGCACCCTGACCTCACTTTCTCCCTCAGAAAACAGGGGCAGTAATCTCTGTCAGTGCCTAGGAAGAGGGGACATCAGCGAGCTGCCTGGGCACTGGGAATCCCTGGGAAACACCCTCACTTTTCTGTCTCTGTCTCTCCCTGTGCAGACGCTGGGGGCCCTGGGCAGTCCAGGCCCAGCCTCAGCAGCTGCAACCACTGTCCCTGGGGATGTGGATCCAATGGGAGCTCAGAAGGAACCCTCGCTGAGCCCCCTCCCTTCCCATGGTGACTGAGGCCTTTGTCACCTTAATTGGCCATCTCCAGACGCTTTTCTCTGCCCCCCCCCCAACTACACCACACTGCCCCATATCCCAGGTCCAATTATGTGCTAATTGGGCCTCTGGGGGCACACAGAAATCCCCCTCCCCTGCCCGTCCCCGCCTTCCTATATCAGCCCCCCACCTACTGTCCCACAAACCTCAGGGTCCTGCTCCCAGGAGGTAGGGACCAGGAGGGCACGGAAGGGATGCCTGGTCATAATCCCCAGCCCTACCTCCTGCAGCCCAGGTCGTGCCCTACCCTCCAGAGTCCAAGGTCCCTCGCAAAGGCCATCCTTCCTTGTCCCCCTCTCCAGCTCTGAGCCCCCAGCCCTGGCTGCCCTTCTTTTCTCACAGATTTGGAGGGGTGCCTTCTGCAACAGGAATACTGTGGGAAGTTAGCCTAAGATTACCTGGCCATGCACCCTGGGGCCCCCGCAGTCCCTGGAGTATCTGAGCCCAGCTCCAGGAAGCTGAGTGCCTTTGTAAGCGGGGCGGCTGCCCACATGCGTGCCCTGCATCCCCGGCGGACCCGGCCCCCCAAAAGGAGACCCAACCACAGGAGGTTCCTGTACAACCAGATCTGCAGGTGAGCCGAGGATGGGCTGAGGGGTGTGTGGGGAGGGCCCAGAGCCCTGGGTTTGGACAAGACAAGGCCCAGACAGAACAGAGAGAGGTGGCCCCCAGGATGGGTGCAGCCACACTTAGCATGCACTTAGTGAGCACCTCCTGCATGCCACGCCCAGAGACTCATCAGCAAACATAGCCTCTGAGCTCCCTGTCTTTATGGACTTATGTCTGGTGGGGGAGCCAGCAGGTCAGGGGTGGCCAAAACAAAGAAGTAAATGGTACACATGATGCTACAAGGCGGATGGATGGACCTTGAAAACATGATGCCAAAGGCAAGAAGCCAACATGAAAGGCCGCAGGTGGCGGGTTCCCTGCATGGGAACTGGAACAGGCAAACCTACAGACACAGGAAACAAAACAGTGGATGCCAGGGCCTGGGGGAGGGGGATAGGAGAGATTGTTAATAGCTATGGGGTCTCCTTCTGGGGTGATTAAATGTTCTGGAACTAGACAGGGTGGTGGCTGCAGAACATCATGAATATGGTAAATGCCACTGAACTGCACACTTTAAAATGGTTCATTTTAAGTTATGTGAATTTTACCTCAATTTTTAAAAATGGTATGGTATGTCAGAAGGTGGTGAGTGCTGTGGAGGGCATGCTGGAGGAGAGATGGCATTTTAGGTAAAGTCACTGGGGAAGAAGCACTGAGCACAGCCCTAGGGAGGGAGCAGAGGAGCCTTCAGATGACTGAGGGAAGGGCACTCAGGCACGGAATGGGCTTTTTGGACCCATTCATCTTTCTCCCATGGCACCCCCAAATCTGTCTCCAGACCTCCCCACATTCACACACACACTACAGACCAGCAGTCAGATCCAGTGACAGAGCACATCCTGCCCCCAAAGGCCCTCACAGTGCCCACCAACCACCATGCTGATTCCTCTCACTGTCCATCAGGTTAGCCATTCTTTGAATGTTCTCTCAGTGGAGTCCTGGGCTACTAATTGTGAGTCTTGCAGTCTTTGGTCACATTATGCTTGGGCATTACTCTGTTAGAACTGCAGTGATCAAACACCACAGACTGGGCAGCCTGAACAACAGAAATTTACTTTCTCACAATTCTGGAGGCTAGAAGTCCGAGATCAATATGTGCTCACATGGTCCTCCTCCCTCCGTGTCCAAACACCAGTCTTATTGGGGTAGGACCCAACGTTAATGGCATCATTTAAACTTAATCACCTCTTTAAAAACCCTGTTTCCAAATATAATCACATTTTGAGGTCCTGGGAATGTCAGGGGATACAATTCAGCCCATCACAATTTGTGAGACCCATTCATACTGTTACTGAGGGGAAACCAGTGCAGTCATCCAGATGGGAGTTGCTGGAGATGCCCCCAGGGGGCAGATTCAAGAGCTAAGAGGAAGCAAAATGCACAGGGCATCATTGTTACTAATGCACAGCTAACTCATAGCACACTTTTGTGTGAAATTATTTTTTAAAGGCATCCTTAAGAAATTTTCCACTTTCGTATGTTGGAATGTGGTCATAATAAATGTAAATGTCAAAGTGTGTGTAGTGCTAGACAAGACGTGCTGCCTTGTGCAGCGCACAACCCTCACAGCCAGTCAGAGCTTCCCTATAAATGGAGTCAGAAATACTGCATTGTCAGACCTGAGAAAAATGGACCCAGGGGCAGGAAGATTAGCACAGAGAAGAAAAATGGGGAGGGAGAGAAGGCACAAATCACATCTTAGATGAAAAATGGGAGGAGATCTCTTTGTAGTCATCCAGCTAATGCCTGTCTCTCTGCAGGCAGTTTGCCAAGATTGAGGCTGCCACCCAGCACCTGGCCCTGTCCTTCCTGTCTCCGGAGGTGCCTCCCCAGAGACCGCCGCCCCAAAGACCATCCCTGCCACCCCCATCCCCCTTCCTGGGGGTGGCCCATGCTGTGGCCCCCGCGGAGGACCCCCATGCTGGCCCCAGCCTGAGCCTTGCTGTCCTAGATGCCTCTACCCTCGACCTCTTTGATAACATTGCACTCACTTTCGAGTGTCCCTCAGTATCACATGACCTGTCCCAGCTGGACCTCAGGCAAGCCCCACATTTCCATGATCCTCTGACCCCACATGCCCTAGGGGGAGGGGACAGATTCTTGGCTCCTGAGGAGGGCTGGGTGGGCAGGTGGGAGATGCCTTGTACCTGCCATTCCCAGGGGATCCCTGAGGAATGGGAGACCAGTTCCTTATGATGCCCAGTCACAAGCCACCCCAGGACAAACCAGAGGCCTCCCTATGACAGCTCTCCAACCCCCTGCCCCAGAGACCCCATCCCTTCCACTCCCTTCCTGGCAACCCCCCCGGGGAAAATGACCCAGACTCCCACCTCAGCCCAGAGCCTCACCTCTGCCTCTATCAGGGGCCCCTTGCTCTCTCCTTCCCCACTTTCTCCCTTCTCTCCTCCCAGCCATTCCCCTGGCATCCCCGCTCTAGCCCCGTCTCACCCTGGCTCATTGCTGCCTTATGTCTGGTTGGTCTCATCTCATTTATTCACAATGTACTGAGCACCTACTATGTGCTGAGGACTCAGCAGTGAATAAAACAGATAAGATCCCTGCCTTTGTGGAGTCCGCACGGGAGGAGGGCAGTTCAGGGGACTGACAATGAGTACATTCATACACTTTTAAAATGCAAGTTAAATTTCCAGTTTCAGATTGGAATTACCACTGTGAAGAAAATAAAACAGCAACCTGACCAAGTAGCTATTTGACACTGGTGGTCAAGGAAGGCCTTGAATGACAAGAAGGAGCCTGCCATGTAAAGGCCCTGAGATGGGACGCTGAGGAGCAGCGTGGCTGGAGTAGAGCGAGCAGGGGGAGAGTGTTGAGAGGTGACAGTGGAGAGGTCAACAAAGGCAGACAATGAACTGGGAGTTTAGATGGAAAGTTCTCTCCATCTCTTTCTCTCAACCCCATTTCCAGGCACAAAGTGTAAATACTAGAAACACCACCCCTGGGAGGCAGGCGCTGCAAGATGGGGAAATAGGCTGCATGAACAGGCTGAGCGGCCGTAGGGGTTGGGGTCACCTAGGCTCCGGGCTTCATTGGCCTTTAACCGTGAAAGTGGCTGGGACTCTCAGTTTCTGTCTCCAGATAGAAGGCCCAGGGTTCGAATCCCCGGCTCATTCCTGCCCTGGGCGCAGCCCTTCCCATCCTTGGCCTCGACAGCCGGGTCTGTACCCCACGGCGGGTCGTCACCACTCTACCCAATTAGAGCTGCATTCTCCACACCCACCGCACGGCCCCGCCCAGGCCCGC